CTGTATACGACTAGAGATCTTTTTGTATTCAATTTATTGTGCCCGTATAGAGGTGAAATTTTTTCCCCCCTACCATTTTCCATATTTCATAGACAAGACTAATGATTATGAATAGTAAAAAGAGTTACCCGAAAGACAAGATTAGTACTTCTCTCTCATTCCATTTTCAGAGTATCGTATCAAAAATTTAAATGGACAAATTTTTAAAACCATCCAGTTTTCAAAATTATTCCCAAAAAAAGACCCTTTTCAACCTTAATTATAAAAACAGACCTAGTTGGATGAAACTGGGTCTGTTATTGAAAAAAAAATTCAAACTTCACGGGAGTTGAACTCCCGTGAAGTTTTTTCTCATAACAAAACTTCACAGGAGTTCAACTCCCGTGAAGTTTGAATCTTTTTTTTTCAAAAAGCGACCCAGTTTCAACCAACTGAGTCGGTTTTTGAAATTAAGGTTGAAATGAGTCGTTTTTTATAAATAAATTTTAAAAAGGGATGGTTTTGAAAATTTGTCCAAATTTAAATGCCAAGTGCAGGGGAATATATAATGTGTTATATTGAATTCTCTTATGAAGAGATACATAGAATCCCTCAATATATTATGAAATTCCTAGATCTCGTGAATTCGAGAAGAAGCTAGCTAGGATGCCGTTAGCCATTTTTCTAATTTTGAAATTAAAAAAAAAATTGTTTCCTGATTTCTTTTGGGTTTTTTTTTAAAATCTTTTTTTATAAACCTTAACTCTAAGACAAGAAAATTTTCTTACCATGTTTTAAGTTTTCATATATATATATATTAATTTTATTAACAGTTTCAAACATTTTTGCTTTTCACTTATCCTAATGGGCCGAGACAGCCGCAGCTATAACTAATGGGCCGGCCTAATATCGCGATTGACTACCCCCTCTGCCGCTCAATTCCGCCAAAAATCCCAGACGGTTATTTTCCCAACATCATCTCTCTCTCTATTTATTTATACATATCAAAAATCTCTACCCAAGTTCTCCAGGGTTTTAGACCTCGCTAGACTAAAGCAGCGATGGAGCTGGAAGTTCGAGTCGTCGGAGGAATCGAGAGCTGCTTCGTCTCTGTCTCTCTCCAAACCCTAGCTTCTACCGTCGGCGGCCCCCTCCCTCCCGTCCTCGCCCTCGACCTCCGATCACCCGCCGCCTGCTGGCACGTCTCCTGGGCTGGATCCGCATCCGGTTCCTCTTCAATTGAGGTGCCGATTGCTCAAGTTCAACTCTTGATCTGCTTTCTTTTGCCGTTGGGTCTTTTTTTTTAAATCTTGTAGACCCTAAATCGACAATATTAGCAAATTTACACCCCCGATCTAGATATTTGCTAATTTGACCTTCAATTCTGTTGTATTGAGTTAAAATATTCCGAAATTTGTTAAAAGTGTTAAGACTTATTTTCACTTCAATACCCTAAAGTTTCATCCTTTTTTAATTTTGATATCCTGATGGTCTATTTTGACAATCTGATAACCCAAGTTCTTTAAGCACCCCAAAGCCTTAGCACTGTTCCTTGCTTTTCCCGAGCTCCAAAAACTGAAATTTGATAAGAAAATTGCTTCTCATCCACTTTTATGTGTTGATATTCTTGAACAAAATCATATGCTGACTTTTTTTGCACTTTAGGGTATCAAATTGTCAAAAATAGAACTTCAGGGTATCAAATGTAAGAAGGAATGAAAGTGCAGCCCAAGGAATATTTCTAGGAAGTATAATCGTTTTCTTTTAGTTGCTTAGCTGAAATTTCCCCTTTCACCATTGACAAAAGCTGATATGTTAGGTTGGGGCGCAATGTGGTAGAATTGGGGGTGGAGGGGGTAAACTAACAAATATCTAGATTTAATAAATTTGCAAATATGAATGATTCGGAGATACACAAGTAGGAAGACACTCTCTCTTTTTTATGATCTTATGATTTTGAACTTGGATTTGGTTGCTTAGATTGCCCAGAAATTTGCGGAATGTATCTCGTTACCTGATGGGAGTAAAGTGAAGGTGAAAGCAGCAGGGAGTGTTCCAAAGGCGGCATTTGTTACTGTGGAGCCTAGTACTGAAGATGATTGGGAGATCCTTGAGCTCAATTCAGAGTTAGCAGAAGAGGCCATCTTGAAACAGGTAATGAAATTTTAATATTTCATCTATTTAGCTTCTTTATTTAGTGCTTAGTAGTTAGCACTAGCTGCTCTATCCTAGGCTGGTGTTATGGTCTAACTCCAGCTAAATTCTTGTCGAGGAAAAAAAAGATGATTTTCATTTAGAAACTAGTGACTACGTGGAAAACACCTGCGAACTGCCTTTTTTGGGGTGCAAACTCCAACTCCATAGCGAAATTACTTGTGCACAAGAGTTAGGTTTTAATCCCCCAAAAAAGGGGGTTATTGGCTTATTGTTATGTTTCACAGTCCAAACAATGGAAAAAAGACAAAAGGAAAGACAAATCCCTAAATATCTTTAACTCCAGTGTCCTTAGTCTCTCAGTCAAAGGTGTAGAGGTGTATTCATCCATATATCTTCCTTTATATAAATTTATCTACCCATATGGTTTTAATAGGGAATATGGTATATCTACCGATTTATTCATCAGTGTTCATCATGCGTGACTGGTAATCCTTTTATCTGACTCCAGGCTGGCTTGGTATCTAGCCTGCTGTAATACTTTTATAAATCATCTAGGTTTCATTTAGCGTTTATAAGGAAATAGTATGTTCTATGAGTCTAGGCGCATGTTGTGATTTTGCGAAAATAAGTGGAAAACTATGAAAATTTAACTTTCGTACGACAACTTTATAGAGGTTTTGGAGATTATAGAAGGTACAAAGAGGGAGTTTCTCAATCAACCATTTCGGAAACAGCCAGCTTTCAGAGAAACCTTTCTTAACGTATGCGACCATTGGTTATGTCGTGACCTTGATAAGTCGGAAGGGCAGTACTAGTTAAGCTCTTGCTGAATGCATGTTGCAAATGTACCATACTGCATTTGTTACTGTTAATTTTTTGCATTCTGCTTTGCACTTGTGATGACAGGAAACGCCTATCTTATTAATTGCAGGTTGGTATTGTTAATGAAGGAATGAGATTCCCTTTGTGGTTGCATGGACATACAATTGTGGAGTTTCTTGTTGTTTCAACTTCACCTAAGAAATCGGTAGGTAAGAGGAATTCATTTGGACTCTATGGCCCATTCTACATAATATTGACAACACAGGATGCATCAACATTATTTACTTATTCTACATCATATTTACTTTTTGAAGATGCTGTTTAATTGCTTATTTCTTTACTCATGTTTTTCGTCATGTCTGATTATCCTCTGGGATCCCAGTGCAACTTGTGCCAGGGACTGAAGTTGCTGTTGCACCGAAAGTGCGCAAGCAAAAGTTGGAGGCTAGCCAGGATGTCTGTAAACAAAGTTTGTTAGAAGAACAACTAAGAACAAGGGCACTTCTTCGAGTACAAGAATTGGACAAGGGGCCTGTGCATAGATTTCAATTTAAAGGTGTTGAGCTAGGTGTAGCACTAACAACTGTTGCTTTCATACATCCAGATACAGCTCAGAGATTTTCATTTGATAATCTTCAATTAGTTACCATACAACCTAGATTAGCACCTTACGGGAAATTGCGGAATGGTAAGGATGTTAATCGGATAAGAGGGAACACTATCCCTGGTAAGGGAGAAACTAATGAGGTGTCAACAAATAGCAAGGAGATGGTTAGATATACAGTTGTCCGTATCTTATTCTCAAACTTAGTTGCAAAAGGGCATGTTATGCTTCCTCAGTCCCTTCGTCGCTTCATTGGAGCAGGTGTACACTCATGTAAGTGATGAGTTTTTGATCACACTTTCAGTTTTATTGATACCCTCCTCTGTTTTTATTAACAGAAGTGTATTGCAGTTGATATAAAATTCTTCTATTTCATGATTACCTTTATATATGTCCTGCATTAATCCCATACAAATATTAATCCAACACATTTAACAGATTTAGTGATTCAGTTGTATACTTGTAATCATTTACTCGATCTTTCTCCTAGCCATATTTCAGGTACTATCTCTGTATCACATCCTAGTCCATTTGTTGCTCACAAATTTATGTATGAACAAGCTTTTCCTTCGGCTTCTAATTGAAGACCTTTTTAGTTGGTAGAACTTATTTCTTTAGCCAGTAGAGAATGCAGATGATTTTCTCCCTATATCTTAGGCAATGTGGATTTTACCCATGACATTTATACATCCCGTATTCTGCATCACCTTACTATATATTTTAGCTTGTTAAGATTTTACTTATGATACTGACATGATTACAATATGTCAATATATGTCGGGGCTTTCATGTCACCTTATGCGATTTTACTTCATTTTCACTTTCCTTCGCTGTCTTTGGATGAAGTTACTAAATGTGAATCTCTTTGTGCAGGGGTTTATGTGAAGAAATTCAGCAATCATAAGTTACTAAATGTGAATCTCTTTGTGCAGGGGTTTATGTGAAGAAATTCAGCAATCATCCAAAGAGGGCTGTATCTTTAATGAGAATCTCTTTGTGCAGGGGTTTATGTGAAGAAATTCAGCAATCATCCAAAGAGGGCTGTATCTTTAATGACTCTTTCGCCTTGTCAGTTTAAATTATTGGAAAAGAACAGGGGTAGTAATACTAATGGAATAGACAATCTAGAGAGTCAGTCAAGTCTTATACGCAAAAGTTCGGCTCCACATGCAACCTTGTTCCCTAGTACAAGTGTGAAAGATTGGTGGCAGCTTGAACAGTTCCTCACTAATATTTCAACTGAAATTTCTGAAGTCGGAGGTAAAAGTGGTAATACACCGGAGAAAAGGTTTCTTATCCAGTCCTGGTTTATTGGACAACTCAAGGCAATTGCCTCATATACTGGTCAAGTAGAAGTTACTTCAGTAGTTTTGACAAGTGAAACTTTGTTCCATTTTGAAGTAATTGAACACAAGTCAGGGGACCATATAACTGAACCACTCTCATGTGGCGGAACTTTGGAGAAAGGGAGTGCTAGTAGAGAACCTGCAGCCGAGTTCCTGTATCTTTTAAAGGCTACATTTGACGAGCCTTCCCATGATGATCTTCAAAACACTTTTCAGCTTGTCTTAAGTGCAAAAAGTAAAAAAGGCAGTGATCATTATAACTTCGAATTACCCCTTGGAAATGTGGAGTTAGGTGAGCCTGTGACTCTTGAATTTGTTGCAGAAAGTTGCTTCAACAAAAACTTCAGTTTGACTCTATCTTCTCTTAGCTGGATGGAGAAGGCTACTTCTGATGTTATTTCTCGTAGGTATTTTCATTTCATGCATTCTTTTTGTCGTCGTTATTTTTTGCTGGTATTTAATTGTATCCCAATAGAACTGAATGAGTCTTGGCATGCAGGTCTCTTTGTACTTCTATCTTCGTCTTCCGGGAAGTTATTGAACACTTATGATCTTCCTCATCCTGGGCACGTGCTTATTTATGGGCCTTCTGTAAGGAACTATATATTTTACCTGACACCACAAATATATATTTAATGATTTTTAGTTTTATGTGGCACATCCTCTCACGTATTCATAGTCTTCTAGTCTCAGTCCGAAGTTGCTCTTGGCCGTGTTCATATTGTGTATTATGATTGAAACTATGCATTTATGGTTTTGCATGCTCTATATATAAATGGCTCAAGAGATCTATTGGGTTCCGTAAAACATGGGAACTGAAAAGTTATGGTTAAACTATTATCAGAAGTTATGCTTATCGATGCTATCCAGAGTGCAAAACTTTCTAAATGGCATGTGCTCAATAGCACAAATTTTCATACGTCCCAGTGCTAGGTGATATTGCCGCTTCTCTTTGGCATATTGGCTAAAGATTTGAGACCAGCTCAGATATTGGCATTAGACTGATTTTGCTGGTTGTTGAATTTAATGTACCTTCTGCAGAGGCTTCTCAACAGAGCTACTCGATTTTCTGGCATTTGCATTAATTACTCTTAACTCATGTAGGACATTTAAATACTTGCAATGGGACTTCAGTAATCCGGTAGAACTTTGTAATCTGTTTTTAGACGTAAGACCTTGAGATGAATTTCACACCTCTATGAGCTGATTATATCATTATAATAGTATTTATGCTCATTGTTTGTCTGACTTAACAGAGATTTATATGACGTAATAGTATTTATGAGAATTTTAACCATATATTAACAACTATGTTTGTGCTGCATGTCTACACCTAAACTATTTATAATATTTAGCATTATATGCATGTTTTATGTGACTGGAGATAGAATTGTCTAAATGCCTAGTGTGCTCTAGTGTTGGAGATGTGCTATCATTGTATCTTAATGTTGTAAATGTCTAGGTTATGCCATCTGGAAGAGTATGAAGCTTATGCATCATTTTGAAGCAATCTCTGGATGGTGCAGATAATTGTTAATGCTAATGAATGAATGCATTACTGCTTGGACGCTGATCATTGTTATTCCAAACTTTGTTGTTTACATATTAGTTCATTGAAATTAGTCTGGTTGCTTGTTAATTCCACTTTTATGTCATGGTGTCCTTACTCCATTTTCTATCTGCCAGGGTTCTGGTAAGAGTACATTATCCATGGTTGTTGCCAGACATTTTGAAGAACATCCAGAAATCTTAGCACACATGTATGAGATAAGTTATTGTTTTTGGTTTGTCATTTACATTTTCTCTGATTTATGTCCAACTTTGCTGTGTTCTTAATTTGCTATTTGATTAATTTACATCAATTACTATGAAGAAAGATGTTAGATAGCACTTTACATTATATGTGATTGATAATGATGTTATTTTTTAATTTGATCATGATGTTTCTCTTATAGCGTTTTCATAAGCTGTTCAAAACTCTCTCTGGAAAAGAGCCAGACAATCCGGCAAGCAGTTACAAGCTACATATCTGAAGCCCTGGTTCATTCACCTTCCATCGTAATCTTTGATGACCTTGACAACATTGTTTCAGTTTCTTCTGATTCTGACGGACCTCAGCCTTCTGGTTCATCCTCTATTGTAAAGTTCTTCTCAGATATTCTGGATGAATATTGGGTAAGAAATTGATTGTGGGTTACCTTTTACTAGCTTTGTCAAAGATTTACTTCAAATCATTACAAAGTCAGCCCAAATATTTTGGGTTCTTGTAGTTTCCTGTTTTGACCTTTAAATATATGTTGTTTGCTTTATGCTTTGTAGGAGAAATGTCATAGTTCTTGTGGGTATGGTCCTATTGCATTTGTGGCTTCTGCACAATCTCTTGGGAATTTACCTCAATCTTTAAGCTCTTCAGGTTCCTCTCTGTTTATACAAAGAATACTGCACTGAACTTGTAGACTAGTTAATACTCACACTATTATTATGCTGAATACTCTCATATCACCAGGGAGGTTTGATTTCCACATCGAACTGCCTGCACCTGCTGTTTCTGAGCGTGGAGCTATATTGAAGCATGAAATTCAGAAACGTGTACTACACTGTTCAGAGGACATACTTTCTGATATTGCTTCAAAATGTGATGGATATGATGCATATGACTTAGTAAGTGTTTTTGAAGTGTCGTTGATGATTCTATTGCATTTATTATGCTTTCATGATTTCTATACTACTGATTTTCTATTTTACATGCATGTTCTTTTAAAATCCCATTGGATATACATGTTCTTTTAAAATGCCAGACCCATTTATGACACCATAAATTACCTATAACCACAAAGTGACAGTCTTTCGCTGGCTTATACGAGTCAATAGCTCAAGTGAGAGTTTTCTAATTTGGAAAACAAATTATATCTCCACACAGAAATAAGTTCTGTTCGATACGATTTGGTATAGAGTGATGGATTGCAATACGTATGACCTGTTCTCTTGCATGTAGGGTTTATATTGGTGCTTGTGTTTACTCGAACATACCAATTTTATCAGATAGCATCAGATATTGCACTGTATTGTATTTTCTAACACAGGTGAAATATGACTGGTGACAATTTGGCTTTCGGTTTTGACGCTATTGCTTATTGTTGGCATGCAGGAAATTTTGGTTGATAGGGCCGTTCATGCTGCTGTTAGTCGTTTTCTGTCCTCTCATGGTGCCTTTGAGGAACAGGAGGTTCCTGCTTTAGTGAAGGAAGATTTTTCACAAGCAATGCATGATTTTGTTCCTGTTGCCATGCGTGGTCTTACAAAAGCTGCTTCTGATGGTGGACGTAGTGGATGGGAGGATGTTGGAGGCCTTGTTGACATTCGGAATGCCATTCAGGAGGTCCCACAATTTCTTTTATATGATGTTTATGCTTATGCATCAAATTAAACTTTACTCCACTACTCTTGTACTTACATTTTTTATCTTCTTGAGCTGGCAGATGATTGAATTACCTTCAAAGTTTCCTAGTGTCTTTGCAAGCTCTCCATTGAGATTGAGGTCAAATGTTCTACTTTATGGGCCTCCTGGGTGCGGAAAAACTCATGTTGTTGGAGCTGCTGCGGCTGCTTGTTCGCTAAGATTTATTTCCATTAAGGGCCCTGAGCTTTTAAATAAATACATTGGCGCTTCTGAGCAAGCTGTAAGGCGCTTTCATTCTTCATACGAATCACTTCATTTAATTTATAGTCTTTTGAACACCCTTAGAACACAATATCTGGAGGTCAGGGTCCACAAAGGCATCCTTAGTTTGTTAAAGTAAGATCCTTAGAACACAATATATGAAGAAACTAGGAATAAACTGTATATGTAAAAACACTAGGAATAAACTGTATCCTGCAAAAAGTTAAAAAGAAGATTATATTTCTACTTTCCTCCCTTTATTTGTTAACCTGTTGGACTTCCATGGAATGCTATGTCATATCTTTTCGCTGGATGTCAAGAGAAATTTGATCTTCTGTTGTCTTGCCCATTAGCTTCAATGGACAACTGCAATTTGATCTTTTGTTGATGTCTCAGGTTCGTGATTTATTCTCAAAAGCAGCTTCTGCAGCACCTTGTCTTCTTTTTTTTGATGAGTTCGATTCCATTGCCCCAAAAAGAGGACATGACAACACTGGTGTTACTGATCGTGTTGTTAATCAGGTTAGTTGCCTGGTCCTAGTTGTTTTTTGGTTGTCTTTTGAAATGGGTGAACTGATACAGTGTCTGCTTCCCAGCCTCAAATAGACAATGCTGATTATTTCTTTATTTGCAGTTTCTGACTGAGTTAGATGGTGTGGAGGCCTTGACTGGAGTTTTTGTTTTTGCTGCAACAAGGTGAGTGCTCTTTCAGACCCTTTTCTTTTTACCCTTAATGGGCCCACTTTTTATTTCTAACATTATAGAGATTTGAACGATCAACTTTGAACTTGTTAGTTTATCCAAATTTCTGAAAGCAAGCATTAAATTAGTCCTAAATGTGGTTAACAAACTTCTAGGTTGTGGGATTCATGCTTTCTGTTTTGCATATTGGCTAAATTTATTAAATGCTTTGTGATTGATAATTAGTCGGCCAGATCTGCTTGATGCTGCACTTCTGCGACCTGGAAGGCTTGATCGTCTTCTTCTATGTGATTTTCCATCATGGCGTGAACGTTTGGACATTCTTAAAGTTCTTTCGAGAAAGGTCTTCCTTCCTTCTCACTCTCTATATCACTTTTGGTTTCCTTTAATGTTAGTAGTGATGTTGTTCCTTTTGCTGGTTGGTTACAATGGTACTTGATGTCTTTTTTTGTCATAGTCAATATAAACTTTGTTTCATTGTTCATGCATTCTACTTCATTGGAAAAGATAAAATATTTTCTTTCTTTTGTTGAACTTTTAATCTAATTTCCTTCATCCGCTAGTGTTGACATTCCTCTGTTCACCTTTGTCAGCTTCCACTGTCAAGCGATGTCAACTTGGAAACTATAACTTCTATGACTGAAGGGTTCAGCGGTGCTGACCTCCAGGCTCTTTTGTCGGATGCCCAGCTTGTGTCAGTTCACGAGCTTTTGGATAGTGGAGATGGAGATAAATCAGGAAAAATGCCTGTGATAAGTGATGAGCTTCTCAAGTCGGTTGCTTCAAAGGCGAGGCCTTCAGTGTCAGAAGCTGAGAAGCACAGGCTTAATGGGATCTACAGCCAATTCTTGGACTCTAAGAAATCTGTTACTCCACAGGTTTGCCTTCTACTCTTCTCTGCTGTTTTTTACATTACTTTTTGGAGAAACCAGTTAAAGTTATTTAACTATAAAAAAATCAAGCCACAATCGACAAGTGGCTTTCACTCGCGACTGTGACACTCCGATTGTGGCAGTGACACGTGTCCCTAAAGCAACATGTGTCACCGCCACAGTCGCAAGTGGCTTTCACTTGCCGACTGTGGCTAGCCATACTCTTTTTTTTTTTAAGTAATAGCATAGCTCATTGAACTATAACATAAAGAAATCGTGAACCTTTTGCACTGCCACAACCCCCCCCCACCCACCCCCCACCCCCACCCTTATTGTCCTTGAAGAATCCGCCTGGAAAATTGGAGTTCATATATGTTGATAAAAATTGATTTCCCCGTTTCTCAAATGTGATAGCTATAATAAGAAAGCTTGACCATATTGGAAAATTTTGAGTAGGTAGAGGTAGGCAGATACAACATTAGCATTTTCTGGTGATGTACTTGTCTGAAATGATATTTTTGAAATTAGTTCCAAATGTAGCATCATTTCATGTTGAATCGCACACTGAATTGATCTTTACTTACTATTTTCTTAATCCCTGCAGACTAGGGATTCAAAAGGTAAAAGAGCAACCCTAGCATAATTGCATTCAAAGAAAGTACAATAGCACTTTTCGAACTGTATCATACTTTATTATGAGGTACTCTCTTAAGTTTGCTCACAAGCCTTACTTTAAGGTTCTGATTTTGCCAGCACAGTGTTATTATAAAGCTTCTGACTGTTGTTTCTGCTTTCTGCTTTCTGCAGCACTCAGGGCATTGAGCTCTTGATTTGATTGAACATGAAGTGGCTGATTCACCAAGGAGTTGCATGCAATAATCATAAATTAAGTTGTAATTGCACTTAATAAGCAGCCATGAAAGATGTAACATTAATATATCTAACTGTGAAAGCAGAATTCTGCATTGATTTTATCATGTAATTTTGATAACCTTGTATCAGTCAGATGGAAATAAGAATGTGTTCCTGCTGTTGTAACCAGACATTGATTTTGTCCATTTTGCTCTCTTTGTTTACTTGAACTGTCCTTGATTTTTTTTTTCCGTACCCGCTTGCAATATCTCCTGATGCATGTGATCCTAATTTACCTCTATCTTGCGATTCAAAGTATTGCAATTGCCTAAAATCGTACACACAATTATTTATCCTGTTATGGGCTTCAGAATATGACTAAATAGCACAACTGAGCCAAATAAGTTGAAAACGAAAGTCACTTTGTATAACCCGTTACGATTTTCTCATGCTACACATTGGCTAACTTTCGCCGGGTTAGATTCCAGTTTTGTGCTTGGAAACAGAAAAGGTATATGCAAACAATTGAATAAGCTAACATTTATCCAAGGAAAACATTTTGGCATTGTCATTCAGTTTCCACAATATTTTTCACTGGAACCGACATCCCCTCAACCCTGATAAGGTTGTCGAGGAACCAGGGGCAAGATATTTTACACATGTTACATAGCGAAAACTCAAATTCGAAGAACTACACAGCCAACAGTATTATGAACATTGTTGTACAGTTCATGCAACAATAAACATGCAAGAAAACATGACCTGTACAAAGCATCAACTGCCTCTAGCTACAAATTTAGCAAGGCCTCTTCTGGCTCTTCTGCATGCAGGCTCAGCCTCCATACCCTGAAGTAGAAATTCTTCCATTCTTCTCTGGTCTCAAACATGGTACTCAGAAATAATTAAAAAGGAACACTAGAATTCATTTTTCAACCAAGAAGAAAAAGAAGTACCGCTATGTTATTGGTTCATCTTCTGGTGGCGGCGGCGGCGGCGGCAGGG